TTCTTGGTAATGCTTCAGTCGAAGAGCGAATCATGGATTTGCTATTGGCGTAGTAGTTTGATTATCTTGAAGGGTTTGGCACACCAGAGAATGTGATGAAATTTGTCGAGAGAGGGAGGGAGAGGTCGATAAGGGAAAAGAGATGGAAGAGAGAGAAACAATAGAGCGGACGATTTAACGAATCCAAGAGTTACAAATAAATATACTTTAAATGTTTTCACTATTATATAAAGATAGTTATTATATACAGACACTATTATATAAAAAAGTAATTCGAAATTGCACCAAAGACACACATATCTTCTCTTTATTTCTTCTTATTGTGCCAAACCCTTTGATCGTACATAGGCAAAGTAACCCTGAATCATAAAACGCGATAGAGATTCTTGATATAAGCAAAAGCTTTCACAGCCGCGAGAACAAGCAACTGTATGCCATGCAGCAAAATCACTATGTACTTCTAACCCCAGATATTGGACGGCAGATATAGTTCTCGGTGATCAACACAAATCATCATATATTGTCCTTGTTAATTTTTATATTGTATATTGATTTTTATAGTGATTTTGATAATTATTTACAATAGGGGACCCTTCCCCATGACCTTGATCTTAATATATGTTGTTAAGGTCATGACTCTGAGTAATTTCCAACAAGTTTTAGCCGTCGTTATTCGTTATAAAACCACTAATTGTGGATCACTCTTTAAAAAAAAATTCATATTTTTATTGAGAAATAACAAACAATTAATAAAATATTTAATAGTCATGATTGATTATAAAGATTACATTATGGATGATTTTATTCCATTCTATTACTGTTTTATTAAATAAAGTAATGATAATTATCCACAATTAAACCCCATGTACTAATGGCGGATCAATTCACCAAATGTTTTATCCTTTTTAATGACGTTATTACATTCCGTAAGGATAATAAAAATAATTTGCGCATACATATCGTAATATACATATAACTTAATGAATCAATACTATATAGAAAATAAAATGCCCCCTATTTTTGCTCTCTATAAGGCGTAAATAAAGTCTTGAAAGCATATGTCAAGGTCAAAGTCATTGGAGGGGGGGGTCCCCTAATATATATATAACTACCATGATTTTTATTCCAAACCGCTAAATCCGACCAAAAAAACCATAATTATATTCTAAGATAAAATTCTGTTTAAAATATCGTATTAAAATTATTATAATACATATAATGTTGGAGGGTTACTTGGCTAAAGCGGCTCCTGCACGATTAGCATTATCGACGCAATATATTGCGCTATAATATTGATATAGATATATTGATTTGAATATAATATCAATATAGACATTATATAAACTATTAATGTTATTTTATTATTTATACTATATCAAGATATTCTACGATAACATTGATTGTGTAAGAGTCGCTTAAGTTCTTCTGCGCTACATTTCAAAAAATGCGTTGTAATATCGTGCGCACGAATACACATACACTATTTTACTGCAATATAAATGTGTATATAGGGAGTAATGTATAGAATACATCTATACGTATACATGTATATATGTGTGTACACATACATATATATGTATACATACGTATGTACGTGAAAAATAAGATTGCGTGAAAAGGACATTGCTCTCATGAACAGTCGAAGACGCATTTTCGTCCGGGTTTATTGCGAATCGCAAAAAAAATTATTTTTCTCTCCTGATTGGAACGTTTATTTCCCACATATTGCGAGTAATAATGTTGAAATTATTCAAAGATGAGCCAAATGTATTCTCATAATTTAAATGAGCCAAATAGTATATTCTCATAAACACTCATAAAAATGTATTCCCCTGTGTACGGGGATGCGTATTCGCGTTCTGTGTATTTTTTCAGTAAATCTTGAAACCTCTCGTTTGCAATCCTGTAATACGTTTTCTGTTCGAAAATAGTACTAGCGACAATAATATGGTATCTGACAATAATCTGAAAATATGTTTATACGTGCCAGGAAAATGATGAAAATTAATGTTATTTAATTCATTAAGGCGATCCTAAAGTCATTTGTTTCACTGACTAAACGCAATAATTTTTGTGTAACAATTACTTTTTTCTTTCTTTACAGATTTTAAAATTTGGTAATTATGCATATTAAGGGCGACCTCACAGATTTCAATTACTTTGACATATGTTGTCAAGGTCATAACCCTGAGTCACCTTCGAAAGATTTTAGCCGTCGATTTTTTTACGCGAAGCGAGTTTCACCCCACTTCCTCCCCGGCAAAGGGGCGATCGACTTTCCACGCGAAGCGAGTTTCGTCCCACCTTCTCCTCTGCCAAGAGGCGTCTGATTTTCTGCGCGAAGCGGGGTCTAGCCCATCTCCCCTTGCCCAAAATTCGCTTACTTAAAACGTACTTACGAAATTATAGTCCACAGAGACTAGTAGTTTACATGAATTTTTAGCATTCTAATTCTAAAAATTCGTCGAATTCTTAAAATTAGATTTTTACATTTGATCGCTACAAAATTGTTACACGACAATTTATGCATATCTGTGAGTGCGACATATTTGTAATATTTTGTTTATTTACTGAACAACTAATGTCTGCATTTTAAGTAACTTTACATAAATATTCTTGAATTCATAAAGTACTTATATTAAAAAATTTGAGACTTTTATCGTTATTTTATAGCATATTTTCATATATTTCTATGAGAGTACAAATTTAAAAAATATTACTTTTTATTGACATATTGACTTTTGATCCAGATGGTAAACTGTCTATAATTTTTTGTATTACTTTTAAATGCAATTTAAAATAATCTGTAATTTTTTAAAGTAATTCTTAATATGTTGCATTTGCCTTACAACCTCCTTAAAGTGAATTAAATTTTAACATTATTTCTTCTTTCAAATTTAGCGCCGCTATTGGAAAAATACGAGACTTAGGGCGAGTTTTTTAATTCATCGATTGATCAATCGCATTATGCGCAAATGCAATTTTTACGGAACAAAATTATATTTGCGCACAGTGCGATTGATCAATCGTTGAATTAAAAAACTCGCCCGTATTATATTATATATATATTTATTTATTTTAACTCATTTATTTATTCAATTCATTATATAAGTTAATAGTAATACGAATAAATGTCTTTTCACTATATTTATTTCTGCACGTATCTTATCACGAATGATTGAGCATGTTATGTGAATCTTTTTTTTGTCTTTCGTTTTAGTCCAAATTATTGTTTCACGGTATTAATGTTTCATAAGTTTACATTACTCTTTTTATCTATCTTATTCTGTCATTTATATTTTACAGTATACACTACTCAAGAAAATTAAAGGATTACATGTTCGATTTTGTCCTTCTATCTTGAAATTTTTGCAAAGTGGAACAGGTGATCCTTTAATTTTGTTGAGTAGTATGTGTGTGTTGTGTTTATATATATCTTTTTTTAACTAAATATGATTGATTCTATATAATTTCTAGTTTGTTCCGATAAAATTTATATGTTTGTGTTATCTAAGGCCTGAGATAAAATAATGATTTTTAGTATTTTGATATAATTAAACAATATCTCAAATTTTAATCATCTAGTACTGAACAATCTGCATTATATTTATATTATTTTTTTATCTCATAAATTTTATAATTTATTATAGTCTATTATACATGTTTCCGAATGCATTGTGTCTTCCTTTTTTCTCTTTTTCTATCTCTCTTGGTCCTATTAACTAACTAAAAATATTTTAATATATTTAACATTAGAACCGCCGGAATACCCTCCTAGAACCGCCAAACGCGCCAATTTAGCTCTTATGCTTTCCTCCGATTAATAAAACATTATTTTGATATTATTTGCATTATTTGGGGTTGTGTATATATATATATATATATTCGATATTCTATATTGTACAGTACGAAAAAAACAAACAATTGAATATGATAATCGCTGTTTCACCGTTGCTGTGTTGATTCTTCTTGATTATCTCTATGATAAACAATACCATTGTGAAATCAGAAAGATGAAGTATTGCGCATGATGTAATAAGCGAATTTCGACCAATCAAACGCTATTGGCATTGCATGTATTTCAAGATCACGTTGACCATGACAGAAATGTGTGTGACAGAAATCGAAAATGAGCACGAATCACTGACAGGCCGTTAATTTTAAAACAGATTTATGCAATATGAAATAAAAAGATCATGTTTAACAATTAAATAAATTGTTAAATAAATAATTTAATAAGTTATACGTTTGAAAATGACATATCGCCACATGATTATTTTTCGCACCGCCGATCGCGTCTGATTGGCCAAGCCTCCACTATTTTACTGTCTACTGCGCATCCTTCGGAATGCTTCACCTTTCTGATTCCACCATAAACAATACTACAAAGAGAAAACCAAGACAAAAAATATGTCGAAATCATAGACATATACAATACAAATGATTAACTCACACTGAAAAATATTAGCATACAATTATTTTAGAATATAGACGAAGCGCCATTTTGGCGACTTTTGGCGGTTTACAGTAAAAATAAAAATAAACTGTGTAAACATGAGTGGAATTAATTAATTTTTTTTTGTAAATCGAACTTCTAAAATGATGAAAAGTCAGGGAAAACTATTAACCAATACGGTAATTTATAAAAGTTATAGCAATTTTTTATATCAGCAGAGCCAAATTGGCGTCGTCGGCGGTTCTTGTTAAAATTAAAGACAGAAAAAAATTTTTTTAACATTGAATTTCTCATGCTTGTCTGTTTATGTACCAATATCACATCTCTTTTGTTCAATGACCGATCCTCCCCCCCTCTACATGTATTTTTGTTTTGTATTTCATAGGCTGCGGTCCACTTGACGCTACAAACGCTTCGAAGCATTCTTTGATTAATCAATTCGTAAAATTCTTTGTTCTGATTGGTCGCTTCGAAGCGTTTGTAGCGTCAAGTGGATCGCAGCCATAAGTACATATCCAACAATCAATATCTGTCTATGTTGTAGGCGTCCCGTACCTAATATTCCCCCCCGAATTCCTGACAGACCATATTCTGGCCGACTAAACTGAGCTACTCCGACACAGCAGTGGCATACAAGACAGTAGCTTGTGCTACACAAGATACAACAATCCGAGACAGCATCAGGAAAGGTTTCGTCTCGGATGACGGACGATGGACGAACCGGATGTACCACAAGGCAAGGCTAACGAAAGAAATCCTGAGTTGCGCGATGAGAACACAAAGATCTCTTAAAGCGAGCGTCCTATATTACTCTTATCTCAACGGCCTCAATGTCGAAGATTGTCGACGTTTACCGACAGAGACAGGAATCACGAGGAGTAATTAGAAACGCAAGAAGGAACCATTTGTGTAGAGAGAAAAAGGAATAAGGCTGTGTTATGCGAATACTGGAGAAGAAAGAGGAACCAAGAGACGTAGGTCAGACGCAAAAAAATTACTTGTCCGTTTCTCGATGGTTGAAACAGTCAGAAAGACTCCATCAGTCACTTCTTCAACCATTTCTTTCTCTGGTATATACTTCATCTTCTATCTTTATTTATGTACAGCTAGACTCGCATTAGATTATGATGTAGTTTTAAGTATTAACACTGCGCTCGACACGCGCTAGGTATGTTTTTAAAAGGATAATTTCGTGCGAAACGACAAATAGAAATCTTACAACAAGAAGGACGATTCAGATTCAGCGTTTCTCGTTTCTGTTCAATTTAAAAAGTCACTTAAAATCGCGATTATCAGTATTATGAACAAGTTAAGACTACTAAGTACTCTCTCAAGAGTACGAGTTTAGTCTTTCGAGAAATGTCGAAGTCGCGGTATTGTCGTATAACTTAATTTCAATTAATGATTTGTAACCGTGAAATTGCAAATGAATAATTTAAAAACTTTACCGGTTACCTTAAATACTCCTTTCTACTACTCTCCTGCCTTTATGCGATATTTGAGATACATCTTATCCTTCTTGTCGTAAGTTGGTGGAAATATAGGTAGAAGCGATTTTTTTTCACATACAAGACGAGTATAGGCAACTCAATTACCTCAATTATAAAAGAATTAATTAAAACAGAGAGACTAAGTCACATTTCGTGAAAGAGGGGAGCTTGCGATCAGACACGCTATCAGCATTCCAGAGAAATTTCGGTTATGAAAAATCACACGGAAATATAAATTATTGTGATCAGTACATTATTACCGTAATGAAACAGATCTACTTGTCCAATCGTGCCAAGAAAATCGTTCATTAGGTACAATAACGATGCTATCTTTAAGGATCTCTAGAAATTCTGCGATGAACAACGAAACGGTAGGGCCATTGTACTGACAATGAGTGGTGTGTAAAAGATACAAAAGATGAAAATAGTAATATTTATTTCGAGCAATCGTGTAGAATTTGTTTTTTTATTGACGCATGCGCAATTATTTTTACACATCTTTTTATAGTTATTTTTGCATTATTATGTTAATAACTGCGCGACGATGGCGGTATTGGAAAACGCATCACAATTATTCTGTAAATGAAGTCAAAACGACAAATTATAAATGAAGTAACGGAAATTGTACATATAGAATTTACAAATATAGTATTACGCGTAAATGTGTTAGGAAGAAAGAGATTTTTGTATTACCAAATATTACTACGCTAACAGCCAGTCTTATAATACGTGAACACTGACTGATGACGATCAATGTGTATAGGACAATGAATCAAATAAATGAATATTTAATACGAAGCAGTTCGTTTTATCATTGTGAGTAATGCTCTGTTTCTGCCATAAATTACATTTATCTTATAAAAATGATAAGATTATATCATTTATCCGTGCATTTTGTATACACTATATATTTTTTGTAATTATTTTATTATATATTACTTTATATATTATATCTTTTATGTTGTAGTATTATATTTCATAACTTGTATACATGGTTTTTTTAAATATATGATTCGTGTGTGTGTGTGTGTGTGTGTGTGTGTGTGTGTGTGTGTATGTGTAAACAAACTAATGCAAGTATACTTAGAAGATAGATGGTCTCGTAACTTAACCATGTTATCTCAAAATAGCATGTTACTTTATTTTAAGGGGAAATTACCTCTTATTGGGTAAAAAAATCGATTTTTTAGCGGAATATTATAGTACGAAATGTTAACTCATGTTTAAGGGGTGAAACATCCCTTTGAAAAAAAAAACGATATTTTTCTTTCGAGGCGAATATCGTCGGAAGTATAAAAGATGGAAAAAAATTTTTTTAACAAAAGTACGGTTTCAAGAGTACTTCAATGTTGTGAAGAAAAAAAATTTTTTAATTTTTTTGTTTAACAATTTAACGTTTAAAACGTTGCCACAGCGAACACCGCCATAATAAATATAAGAAATGAGTCACTATTATCGAATTTGGAATAAAAAAAGTCTGTACTATCGACCTCGATCAAGTTCGGTCGTCGCTCCAGCATTCCCATAAGGACCGGTTTTATCTGTAGTCTGAAGACCCATCTACAATGGTCATGAAAGAAGTAAGAATACTCGACTATAAATAGTCGTCTCCTTTCCGGAATCTTCAATGAAGGCAACAATCGGAATTCGGAATTGTTATTGAAGAACAAGCAAAAATACTTACTTCTTCGCGCGATGAGCAACGCTTGGAGAGACCGACGAGACGGAGCCCCGAGATCTCCAAAGAAGCTCGGATTCATCGCAGAGAACAAAGAATGAAGGAATTTTTTGAGTCAGAAGAAGGAATATTATATGGCCCTGATAGAGCTGATTAGCAAAAAAATGTTGTAAGTATTCGATATGTCTTTGTAAACTGCATTTGAAACTTTAACCGCGTTCTTTTTTTGTACAGAATAAAATAATTTTTACACACTGACATCCTGTGTTGGCTCAATAAAAGGCAATTATTACTTTATTGATTTATCAGAGGCACAAAAATTTGTGTTTTTATAAACGTGTGAATGCGTTCGGTCAGTGTACATCCCGCGGGTTAAGCGCCCGGGTAAAGCTAACCGACTAACCGTTCCTGTCCGTGATATCTCCTATACGCGACCTGTGATATGCTAATTAATTTTTCTTATAATTTGAAAACTAAGCTTTGGACAAAATTTTCATAAAAGGAAAAATCGTCTTAGAATTCGGTCAGGAATACGTCTTTTCAGGGACACCTGGGTTGTTCTGAATCACCCTGTATATAATTTTATATAATTTTATATAATTATATATATAAAACATTTTTTCTTGAGAAGCAATTTGTATACTTCTCGTTATTAGGTAAAATTATAAAATGGATGATGCCAGTAAAATGGATGTTTAACTAGAATTATTATCCTTAAGTAGTAGCAGCGAAGATGAGAATGAAATTTTACTGTCGCATATACAAAATTCCATTCCAAAAATAAAAAATTATGTGCGAGATGTGGTTCATGAAATGTCTGATAAACAGGTAAGTTACAACTCCGTAATATTTTTATACAAAGAAATCAAATTCTATTCTCTTCTTTTTTCAGTTTAAGGAAAGATTTCGTTTAAATCGAAATACGGTTTACGAAATTATTAAGGATTATGAGCAATTTCAGTTATACTTAATTGATCTATGTTACACATAGAGGTAGTACCCCAATATCTGCTGAGACTCTCAAATACTTTCTTTTATTTGGTAAATATATATTTGTATGAATTTTTGAAATATTGAAATTTTTACTATAAAATAATGAAATGTTAAAAAAAAATCTTCAGTTTCAGCTGCAATAAATGTACTTTGAGAGATGTATCTGAAAAATTTGGCATAGGCTTATCTACTTTCTTTCGTTACATGAATAAAGTTATTGATTATTTACTAGACTGTGGAAAAGAGGTATCATAGAAATGTCTCAAATAGAAGAAGAAAAAGAAAATCTATCAAAAGAATTCCAAAAGATAAACATTAAAGGTTTCGCATTTATTTATTAACTTTATCCAACGATATATTTTAGATTTCAGGATTTCCGAATGTAATTGGATGTATAGATGGACTCTCCATAAAGTGTCCTTTTGTTTTCTTCCTCTTTCTTTCAGAGGTAGGCGAAAATCATAAAGTGCAAGACTCCTTTTTACCATTGCTATCAAGTCTTCATCTAATTACTCTTTATTAATATCACAACCAGCGTTTTCAGTTTCATTTTCTGTAATAATTATATTTATTAATAATATAATTTACTAATAATTGTGACTGTAGTCGCGACTGACGGCACAATTTTGTCGCGTTCTCTATTATAATTTTCAAATAAATGATTGCCCTTACGGGATGACTCGATAATCAAACAGATTTCTAGCTAAATATCAGAGCTTTTATACAAATACAAGTTGGACGCAGGCACAAGAGAGCGTGTCACTCTTTCGTTAAATTTCGCTTATTTTAAAAGGTTCACGCGCAATTACAATTCGCGACGGTAATAGGAATGGATCGTTACAGGCGGAAAGCGTGTCGGAGGACGAGAGAGATAGGCTGCAAAAATGACACAGAACTTAACAAGAAAAACAAATAACAAGTGTATTTCGAGGCGTTAATTATTACAGATAAGTTTAATAAATCAATTGTAAGCTTGGTCTTTCAGAGTCCGCGACAAACAGAGATAAAATCTAGTGTACTCGGGCTGATCGTATCAGATAGTGACAAGATGGGAGCTTTCAAAATGATCACGCGAGAAAGGCGAATATTTTCACAATAACTACGCAAAGATTAAGGTCTATCACCAGTGTACTAAGAGCTCACATACTGACAAGGAGTTAAATTACCGAGATAGATCACATCGGCTTGACATGTCGGCTTTTACATACTGGTATATGGTTTTACTTATGTTAGTACTGCAATTATATGTATATGTTGTATATACACCGCGTTTTCCATGGTGATATGGAAATGGAGAAAATGTCAGAAATTACATTTTTCTGTAAGGTATAATAAGTGCAAATTGCATCATATTAAAAAATCATTTGAGCTTCGCAACTTTTTTCTGATCTTTAAAGGTAAATTTGTATAAGAAATATTGGAAGAACACTGATGACATTCTAAACTTATGTCGTGATTGTAACATAATTGAAGAAAATGTTTTTATTGGTTGCGTTCAGCAGACTCAACTGTTGCAGAGCGGATCCGTGAACGCTCCCCACTATTGGATGATCTAAAAGAATACACCAATAACAGCGAACGCTCATGGATCCGCTCCGCAATAATTGAGTCTACTGAACGCTACCATTGATGATTAATCGACCGATATACAGGGTGTCCCATTTTAAATAATTCATTAAGATTTTTCGAAAACTATGGTAGATCGGAAAAATGTTTCAAACAAAAGTAGTATGATTCGGACATAATAAGATACTATTGATTTGACGTGGCGTCGTTAAGATCAGGTCAAGGTCACATCGATTTTTTTTAAATGGAACACCATACTTTTGATTCCAGAATCTAATAGCCGGTGTCGAAAACTTTCCAAAACGCTATAATAAAGTTATTTTTATAAAGTTATTTAACTCGAAAAGTATAATAACTTTATTATCAATAAAGTTTCAGAGTATGATTCACCATCTATTGATAATCGATTTTCGAAATGGAAATGGAAAGAGATTTTAAATAACAAAAATAACATTTGTTATTTAGTACAAAGATAACATTTGTCAAGATCAAGGCCATTGGAGATTATTTCTCTTATTTTTATTTTTGTACTAAAAATTCATTTTTACGTAAAAATGAAAATAAGAGGTCATGGACAAAAAGGTAACCACACTTTTTTTTCGATGTTTTTTGGAATATAACGCAAAAATTTTCAGAGTGCGATTCACCATCTATTGATAATCGATTTTCGAAATGGAAATTAATATCTCGTTGCGAAAAATTGCGGGACATCCTGTATATACATATATGTAAAGATCTAAATGAATCTTAATGAATTAAAGAAGCTTTCTCTCAGCTGATACGTACATTGTATATGTTATGGCACATCCAGATAGAACACAGAAGTCATAAAGATATCCTAAAGACGTCTCTAACTTCACTTATAAGCGGCAAATGAAATATGAGACATCATTATGACTTTGTATTCTATCTAGGTAGAAACTACATGCATCCACAATAATTAGTAACACAATAAAGTCAATCTTTGCGAATTTGCAATCTGCAAATTAGTCAGTCACGATTTTTCCTATCGATTAGAATTTATATCACGAGTTAGTTATGCTAATTGTTTTTTGTTACTCCTATCATTCACACTTCATGTCTGTTTCTCGAGACACTCCGTCGACGATTCCATAAAAGTTTTATTCATAATTTTATACGCTTGCTCCATGAGCTTTGGAAGATCGTCTTTGGTCATACCCACGGTAGGAATAGGCGGTAGAACAGTAATATAACTACTTCCTGTGAAATATCAAATCTTTTTTTAGTTACATAAGTATTGTAGGATGATATAATATATATTTTAATAAGGAATATACAGAGAATGGACAAAAATATCAACGCGCTTTTTGTTTGTCGTGCTCACTGTGATTACATTAAAGTTAGGAAAGTCACTTTGAAAAGTAAATTGTCATCACGCGTTACTTATTGAAAAAAATAATGAGTAACGCCGTAGTTATTCCGTTACAAATCACATTAAAAAATAACGAGTTACAAACTGTGAATTATTTTTTTCAGTAACGAATGATTTTTCCAACTCATTATATAATTTAAGTAACTATTAATTATTCTAACTCTGATGCTACATTATCACCATAAAAAATTCGCAACAAGTCGTTATTACAACAAGGTAACTACACTGAAAAAAATTTTGGTCATTTTTGGTCCAATGAATGATCGTTAATCAATGTCCGACTTAATGTCCGACTTAATGTAATTAATTCATTGATTATACCAGGACAATAATAGGATTCATTTATATAACATTACGAGAATCCATTGGATCAATTTTCATTAATTCAATGAATATTTTATTGTATTTACGTATAGTTTTGGTTCAATGTAAGTAACTAAGAGTAACGGCAGTTATAGTAACTATAGTTACTTTCATTCCTAAATTAAAATATAATTCATCCTTATTTACCTGAATAAAATCTTTTTAATTTGCCATCCAGGAAGTAATATTTTGACACAATAACGGGTTGAATCGGCATTTGAGATTCGATCGCGACATGAAAAGCACCTTTCTTAAAAGGAAGCAATGAATTACCTGAATGGCGGTGTCCCTCAGGAAATAGAAGAAGCCTCCGCTAAAAGGATTAAATGGATCGAAATTTCTATAAAAGGATATTTACTTCTATAAAATATATTAAGTATATTACTCTGATTACATTGTCCAAAATATATTATTGATTTATTTAAAACTTACATTAATTTAAATAATTGCTTTTATGTCAATATACTTTCTATTGCTATTTTAATATATTTAATAGGAATGTGTGGGTACTCGAGATTTCGGGTTCGGATCGGGTCAGAAATTTTTTTCGGGATTTGATCGGGAGTATCGGGACTCGAATGTAATGTTCGGATTTAAAATCGGATCGGACAGTGATCATAGACGTAAAAACTTTATTATTGAATTTGAAATTAAAAAAGTCTGCACTATCGACCTCGATCAAGTTTGGCAATTGGTTTAGGATTCCTTTAAAAAGTTTCTAGACCTACGATTACTGTAATGTTCGGGTGCCCGATTTACGAGCACCCGAACATTACAAACATTCGGGTACAAACATCCCGACCCGATTCCGAAAAAAAATTCCGAACCCGAAGCTCTGATACCCGTAATTTCGGGTATCCACACACCCCTAATATTTAACTATACTTTTCAATGTTTAATATATTCTAATATATTTTTTAATGTTATTTTAAATCTCTACGCGCTTCCGTTAATGATATAAAGAATACTATGTAAAGTCATTACCTTCGCCAGACGAATCGATTCCGCTGTAGCATTAATAATCTGGGACGATTCTGCTACATTTTTTCTATCAATGAATAACGTTCCCCAAAGCCAACACGCGAGCCCGAATGGTCCAAGATACAAAATCTCCTTCCTCGAAATAACGGTGCAATTATCCATCGCCAACCATAGTTCACCTAAAACTGTATGGCCAATTTTGTTATATATATTTCCGTCATTCCTAATAAAATAGTCTACCTTTTTATTCGCTCATTATTATTTTAATGAATTTGTTTAGAGCACTTTTTAATTTAATAAACTCATAATAATTTCAATAATTGGAGTTACCGCAAAGATCTAATGAACTCTGGTGGTTGATGAGCACGATGCAGCCCGAATCTTTAACAATATTCTCCTTACCGCGAAAATGGAAATGTATTCCAATGATCTTTGCTATTGTTACCACGCATCTGGCCGGCACTCTGAAAGATTTTATTTTTATTTTAATAAAGCTCGACGATTTGCCTTTATCCATAAATCATATACGGGAACTTACAACGCGTTTTTCCAACTGCCAACTCGGAATAGCATAAACGGTATCCATAATCCCGCGGCCAACGCACTTGCTACTATGAAGAAGGTAAATTTCGCTCGATATCTCACACTCTCACTCAAGGCACATAGCATAACAAAGAGAAGTAGCAGCATAATGCCAGTTGTTGAGTAAATGTCGCATAGTACTCTGAAATCGTACAAGATTAATTACATTAATTGTGCATTTATTCTATTTTTTTTGTTATGTGAGGGAAAGCTGAAAATTAATTTCCAATAATTTTTAATTAAATAAGACATGTCTGTGCGTGCGTGTGTGTGTGTGATCGCTATTTTACGTAACTTATTTTCTATATAACAAATCACAAATTAATATATTATAGGACCATATATGTGATAACACAAACTATAGAAATCAATGCTTTAAACGGTCTAACTGGACCTTAAATGCTTGTATGATTCTGACAAGTAAACTTTCCGTTACTCGCCGAATTTAATGAAATTTAATACATTTGTAGAGCAGATGAAAATAATAGCACGTATTTTTTTATATTGGTAAGTTTCATTAAATTCAGCGAGTCACGGAAAGGTAGGTTTAATTGTGTGTATGAATAATGTGAGTGAATTTATATATTAACGTACATAGTCCTTTGAAACGCGCGCCAAAATGATTTTTCGGTCTAGAATACTATAACTCTTCTAAACTACCGCAGTAATATCACAAGTTAAATTGACTAGCAATTTAACAATTTGATGCTTTTTTGCATCTTCGAACGATCTTAATAATGCTGAGTGATATTAAAATCTGTAAATAATTAATTCTTAATTTTTTAAAATAATATCCATGTAACAGTCTAGGACTATTTTGTGCTTATAGGGATGTATTAAGTTATTCCTACTCACAACTAATTACTTTCAAGGTCTCAATCTACATTCACTAATATGAAATACATTTCAAGATACTAAGGTCTTATTAGTTATTTAAGCACACCAACTACATCGCCGATTCCTAATTTCTCTAATTTACTTGGTTTTTAAAAATTAATTTTAATACAAGGATCTTACTTCGATTTATATATATTTTTACAATTTACATATAAAAAGAATACAAAGTTTTACAGAATGATTGTTCGACAATATTACATTGAAAGAAAAATATATTAAATTTTAATAAACATTTATTTGATACAGGAACTATTAATTTGATTTAACTATTCTATTCTTTATTTATAGCAAATATATTTATTTTCCGTAAATAAATGTTATATTAGTATCAGTAATATTATGTAAATATTATATTCAAACAATTATTTATTAAAATTTAGTACATTTTTCTTTCAGTATATTAATCGGTTTATTTATTTCGCGAAGAAAGGCAAGAAAATAAGCGCTTTGTGATAACAAGCAGTGACAATGTTTGTACAATTCTTAATTCGCGATAGCGTTGACATAAATCGTTTTTTTTTTGGTGCGTGTAGATAGTTAAAGTTCATTGAGAGCAGATCTCACGAAATATATATTTGCTACGAATTTTGTTGACAGAAATTTGATGCAGGATTTATGATGCTCTGACAGAACGCAAACAGAAATATCAGCGGAATTTTCTAGCAAAGTATAATAATGGAAATCAAGCAAACCGAATATGGTTTAAGCATATTTATTAATAATAGGTGCATTCAGTAAAACACAACAGTTGCGCAACGATTTACGTATGAATTGCAATATGTTGAGTGTTCTGCCCTTATATAGTAGATGCTCTAATGCATACATAACTTTTCATGTGTTTCAAAAGTCTACTATGTTTTATAAATAACTGCATTCATTAGAAAAAACAGCTTTGCCATTGTCGTAAAATTCTTTAATATAAGGTACCTGAGCCGAATAAGGCCCACTTTTAAATTACTTAATTACTATTACTTAAAAACTCGCTTTATGCCTGCAGTACATGCTTGAAAGATGTGTTATAAGAAATAGATAAAAAGGGAGAATTAAAGAATTGGAATTGGTAGCAACACGTTTGTTTAACATAACAAAAAGTTGTGTATGAGCCATTTTTATAACAATCCGCTGCAAAACTTACCAGTACACAAGGTTTCATAATTTATAATTTTACATTATTTATTATAATTCATTATATTATTCAACTTCCTAGTTATGGAAAATAACAAATAAATCAATTTTTTGAAATGAGTATATGTATTTTTTTTAAACAATGTACTTATTAAATAAGGCCCACTTGTGAATATTGTTATAGCTATAATTATTATTTGTTTGTTATGTATGGAGTTTACGCCAGAGAATAACGATTTTCAATGCTGCTATCTTTTAAGAAGCCAAAATTGCATTCAAATTGCTAAAAATTTCTAAAGATTAAAGAGTTTTAATTACAAACAAAATTAAAGATAATTGAGAGTAGAATAAGTTCTAAGGAATTTCCCTTCTACGATTAATAATCATTTTAAAACTGATTTAAACAGATAATATTTATTTTCTTTGTTATTTTTAATTTACTTTTGATTTGGGCCTTATTATATTCATGTGTATGTAATAAGTAGGGCTCGTTATTATACGTTTAAACGAAAACACATTTACACGTATAATTAGCATATCCGTTTATTAGAATTGTCTTTCCGAATATTTTCACTTTTTCTATATAAACGTTTATCCCTTTATTAAGGAGTGTGACGAATTGAGAAAATGCAAAAAATTCGATTTTTAATTTTACTATATTAAAGAACGTTAAAATATTCGAAAAGATGTTTTTCATAGATGGATATGTTAAATATACATGTAAATGTATTTTCGTTTAAATGTATAATAATACACGTATATTCGGAAAAATGTTTCTTTTATAAACGGATATACTAATTAAACGTATAAACGTTTACCGTCAAGTAAACGTTTTTTTGAAAGCGAATATAAACGGATAAACGTTTTACATGTATCTTCGAAAAACGGAATAAAATTAGAGCCCTAGTAATAAGGCTCAATGTCAGAGATTAACAAAATTTTTTTGTTCATTTACAAATGTTCTAAATAAACAATACATATATTTTATTTTTAGGAATGAATGAAATGAAGATTTGATTCTCTTATTTAGTTTATTTCAATATCCCCATAAATAGAATTTTAAAAAATAAAATAAATTAGATGGGCCTTACTCGGCTCAGGTATACCTTAATTGCGTTCTGCAATGTTTAAATTATCATTAGTCATGAATCTATTAAAAACTGGAATTTGTATTCGTGCAATGAAATAATATTGCAATGTGTATTTATATGACTTCTTTACTAAATGTATGATTATAATAACTTAACCGATAGTAATTTTACTTGCACTGATTATTATGCGTATACCAATTCGTTATTACAATTGTAATTTTCAATAAGATGTTATTAAATAACCGAACTTTTTGCTTCAACCAAATTATTTTATTACCTTAACTAAGAATTTGTTTGTCCAAACGATATCATTTTTTTTATTATTGACCTGGTTTTTTTGCTGTTCCTTATATAACTTAACTTTTTATGTTTGGGTATGGGTAAACAAGTCCTTGGTTAATGCAATAAAATAATTTATTTGAAGCAAAAAATTTGATTGAAACATTTTAGTTGTATTATCAGAAACAAGTAAAATGTTACAATAACCAAATTTTTTGCTTCAACCAAATTATTTTGTTGTCTTAACCAAGGATTTGTTTGCCTATATCCAAACAAGAGATTAGTTGATTCAACTAAATGGGATTTTCAGTATAGCATAATTTATAAACATAAATTAAAATGAGATTTATGCATATTTCCATATTTCTAATTATAATCGTTAAAACGATATCAAAATAGGAATTAATTTTATTGATGCGAAAAATATTATCTTGGATCACCCGATCACGGCTGACCAAAAGTCAGAACTCTTTTTTAATATTATTCAAATCATTTACTTTTCCAACTATCAAGCGAGTTCATTCATTAAAAGTTAAAACGATCATTTAATGAATTCAGACTTGATAAATGTTGAAGATAATATTTCGAATAGTCGAGATAACGTGGGAACTCTAACTTGTTCAGTTAATTGTCTTACATTTTCCTCATAATGATGCGACTTGATTGTATTTATTATTTATTAGACTGTTGCATTAATCAGGGAAAATAAAATAGAAGAAAGATATATTATGTATAATGGCTGCGTTCGGTAGAAATAGCAATTTTGCAGCCAGTATTTCATATAAATATTTCATGTAAATGATTGCCTCAACGCAAAAAAACATTTTCCTGACGATAAACGTCTCATTTTGTAAATTGTTATATTAAAATATGTGTGCAGAGTACGGCTTATATCGTAAAAAAGCATATGCGCATCAGCAATGAGTATTATAGCCCGATCGAAATTCAAGAAGTATAGTCCGATCGAAATTCTATACATAATTGAGATAAGTAGTTATGTATACGGAGGAACACAAGGATAATAAAGTTAATGGCCCGTATTCAGACCGCGCTTTTATCTCCGAATTTCTATAATATACGTAACGTAAAGTATAGCATGTTAGCGCGCTAACATCGTTGTTCTGAATACGAGCCAATATCGATAAGCATCGATAGCGTTACATGCAAATAATTGATATTGAAGAAAAAAATCTAAACACACACATGCTTCTCATATTATAACTCATATATTACTATTACAAGCTAAATGAATGAAATTTTGATGAATTAAAATATAATAAAAACAATAAATAATAGATATAAAGAGTTACGAACAAAATGCTAGATCTTATTTGCTGATATTTAATAATCTCGATAAATAAAAGTAGGGCTATGAGCCAGTTACAATATAAAGAATATTTAATAATCTTTCATACAAAACGTTTCGACACCGATCGAGTCATTTTCAATGTAAACAACAAGCGCAATATTACATAAACTATCGGAATATTCGGTCACATTATAATGTCCAGTAAAAACGTCGGTTATTTAGTATTCGCTATATGGGGTCCATATGTAAAAGCATCATAAAGGTGATCTCATCTCACTTTTCAAAATTCTACAATCTTGATTTGTCGTAATGATGTAAGTCAGACGCCGAGAGGAAAACGCAAAAATTAACTAAGTTATATAAAATAATAAAACGTTAGTAAAAGTTATATAAAATAGTAAAAGTTATATAACGTCGCCTGATAGTCGAGGATACATGTTCTCTCCAATAGTACCATGGCTTACTTTTTATTATTTTATATAACTTAGTTAATTTTACGTTTTCCTCTCGGCGTCTGACTTACACCATTACGACAAATCAAGATTGTAGAATTTTAACTTTTTATATATTTTTTTTGTTTAAATTTTAACTAAGTTATATAAAATAATAAAAAGTAAGCCATGGTACTATTGGAGAGAACATGTATCCTCGACGATCAGGCGACGTTATATAACTTTTACTATTTTATATAACTTTTACTAACGTTTTATTATTTTATATAAGTTAGTTAATTTTTGCGTTTTCCTCTCGGCGTCTGACTTACATCATTATGACAAATCAAGATTGTAGAATTTTGAAAAGTTTTGAGATGAGATCACCTTTATGATGCTTTTACATATAGACCGCATATAGCGAATACTAAATAACCGACGTTTTTATTGGACATTATAATGTGACCGAATATTCCGATAATTTATGTAATATTGCTTGTTGTTTACATTGAAAATGACTCGATCGGTGTCGAAACGTTTGTATGAAAGATTATTAAATATTCTTTATATTATAACTGGCTCATAGTCCTACTTTTATTTATTGATTTATTCTAATTGAACCATATTTATAATTATTTAATAATCTATTTTAACATTACAACAGATGTTTTGACCAAGTCATTTTCAATGTTGAATAAACAATTTAAACAATAGACGATTACATTTCAAACGCAAATTACCCCTACTGAAGCGCGCTTCTGTTACATCTAATATTGCACATATTTAGAAAACATTCTTGAAAATGTATAACTTATCTCTTGTCACGATTGCAACGCCACTTACATCGGCCAGACTAAAGGCCATAGCACACTTTCCAATAATCATAAAACGTACCGTAAGAAATAGCCAGTTAAAATTAAGAGAGAGTCGTACACCTCGAGACGGGGGGGGAGGTGAGATGAACCTCGCTTCGTGTGAAAAGCCATTACGTAAGCAGGGAAAATTATAGGACAGTTTTTAATATTATATGTGGCAGAAATAAGACATTATTTTTTGGTTAATAACTTTTTAACGAATGACGAGCGACGGCTAAAATCTATTGGAGGTCACTCATGATCTTGACAACTACTTCAAGATCAAGGTTATTGGAGCAGTCTCTTATTCGATATATTTACTCATGTATCTACATGAGAAATAATTATATTCGTAAATATATTGACCAGTATTCAAAACACATATTTATAAAAGCGCATTCTAAATATATATACGGGTCATTCTCTAAAAACGTGTCGATTTAAAAAGATTAAAATTAATTATTTATTATTTCCGGTTCATTTTGGTCAACCTTATATAATTAGTTTTCATAAAAGAGGTTGTACATATATTCACACACTTTGTTACAATAATAATTAATTTACTACAGTAAAAGTTATCTAACAAGGGGAGGCTCCCTTACCGATTTCAATGAAACTTTCCTTGTTAGCAGGATTGTCGAGTGTGTTCCCCTGAATAAAAATCACCTCCCATTTGGGCGTAGACGGTCTACCGTTTCCGAGATATTTCAATATTAAAGTTGATAACGGCATTTTCTTTAGAGTTTATTAGAACGTTCATACTCGAGTATTTGTAGCGTAGTGGATATGATAACAATCTTCCCGTACAGCACAAAATTTGCAACAATATCGTTGCAAAATCTCTGCAATATTGCTGCAAAATACAATGTTGCTACAACTTTTGTGCAATTTGTGCTGTAGGGGGAAAATGACTACAAAAAGTGTAAACAGCAGATCGTCAACAAAACATTGTAAAATTTCCACCACTATGCTACAAATACTCAAGTATGAATGGTTTAATAAACTCTAAAGAAAATGCCGTTATCAACTTTAATATTGAAATATCTCGGAAACGGTAGATTGTCTACGCCCAAACGGAGGGTAATTTTTATTTAGGGGAACGCATTCTATAATTCTGCCAAGTTTTATTGCAATCGGTAAGGGTCACTCCGGAGCCTCCCCTTGTAAGATATATCATTTTTATATGATTATAAGAGAAATCACAATTGATAATGCCAAAAATTAATAAAAAAATAAAAAACGGAGATAAAAAATTTACTTTATATCAACGTTATTTTCTTAAATTTCGTTGTAAGTAATACACGATATTTTTGGTGCAATTAAATCATTTTACACGACATATATAGTATATTATATCAATAATCTACAGTAAAAAGAAGAGAATGCTTTGCTATATACTAATTAAGTTATTAACTTTTTGATAAACTTATGACAACCACAATCCTGATTTACTATATTTTATCGTCATAAGTAAAAAATTGTTATCTTAGAAAAACCCTGTATTTAAATCTTACACAACATGGCTATAAAAAGCAGCGTTGATAAAAAATAATATCTTTCTTAAGAATAAAACATTCTCAAGATAAAATATTTCTTTTTAAATATGTTTTTAATGGTTTATACATGCTTTAAAAAGTATTATAAAAGAACATCCCAGATAGACAAAAAGATATCTTTTAGATTTCTAAAAGACTTCTCGCCATGTCTTGCGATATCTTGCATTTTTTACGAAAAGATATCTTTTAGGGTCCTAAAAGATGTCTTATGCAATAGTTTAAGATATCTTTCAAATATCTGGAAAATGTCTTTTAGATATGTGATAGATGTCTTTAAGGTGTCTTAAAGATATCTTTTAAATGTCTTGAATATGTTTTTTAAATGTCTTGAAAATATCTTTTTGATGTCTTGAAGATATCTTAAAAAGTAAATCCATATTTAGAAAACGAATAATAACACAGCATGACAATGTTAAGTTTATTAATTAAAAGTTGCTGTTTGTGGAGCAATAGATAATAAGATATCTATTGCTCTTGCATAAGATCTAAAAGACGTCTTTTAGATATCTACAAGACCTCAATGTTATCTGGAATGTTTAAAACGTGTTAAAAACATTGATTAAGCATGTACAGTTTAAAACATGTTTAAAACATGATTTTTACCAACCTTGCTAAAAAGTAATTGAGATACATAAAAAAAATGTTTTATAGAAAATGAACAATATATTTCATGATCTTTTAATCAGAATTATAAAATATCCTTAATCTTTTTTTACAAAAGACTCAAATATTGCAAAAAAATCCATTTTGATACATTAAACTTCAATTATTTCAGCAACCTATAAAGTGTATATAAAATTTGGAATACTTATGACATACTGTTTTAATATTCAAAAATCCATATAGAGGAAATACCTTATCTCAAAGTAATTAAAATAAAATTTTTTTGTAAACTAGTGTATAATAGTAGCGTGAAATTTAACGGCCCAGAGAGAAATATCATACACAGATTATTACACATTACTCACATTTTAAACATGATGTTATTTATTTAAGTACGTAGTATTCACCGCGCTTGATCAAAGACAACTGTCAAACACCAGCAAACTTATCGGCTTTGTCGCCCTCGTCGGTTGTCCTATATATAGCGACTCGTGGACACGTGACGCGCCAAATATTGAATGATAAGGGCCCTGGCACACAAAAAACTAATGCGGGGTCTACAATAGAAGTCGTAGCAGTCGTAGGGTCTTAAGTCATAGAAAATTGACCTATCACAGTTGATTGTTCTTCTCATATTCGACTGTGATGCGGGGTCTACAATAGAAGTCGTAGCGGTCGTAAGGTCTTAAGTCATAGAAAATTGACCAATCACAGTTGATTATTCTTCTCATATTCGACTGTGATTGGTTAATTTTCTACGACTTAAGACCCTACGACTGCTACGACTTCTATTGTAGACCCCGCATTAGTAATCGTAAGATCGCAAGCAAATCGACCAATCACAATCAAAATTACGATCTCGCGTTTTAAAACGCTCGATTGTGATTGGCCGATTTACTTACGACCTTACGATTGCGACTAAAATTTTTGTACGTGTGATGGCTTTAAGTCTCGATATCTCTCGTCTTTTCGAAAAATGCCGTCAACGATATATTGGTGCGCAGCACCTTTTCACAGATTACTTTATCAGAATCATCTTGATCGAAAAAAAAAAAGAATGTTTTAATGTTACGCGAAATTCTAGCGTGCTCTCTAATTACGGAATTATCTTATCAAAGTTTATGTAATTATAACTATTTAATTTAAAAATGTAGAATCTTAACGATATATCTCGTAATTACAACGATTATCGTACGTTTATTCTTTCGTTTTAAAAATACTTTAGATCTGTTTTCTGTAGTTAAATTGATGTACACTTTTGGAACTTAATGTAAGATAAGCAGCGTCAGGATAAGGGTGTGATGAGCGAAGCATTTGCCATATAAAAAATTTGAAGGGCGTAAAAGCCAGCATTAGGCCAATATTACATGCGTACGTTTTTTGTCGTACGACAAATTTTTCAAGTCTGTTGATTAGCTATAAGACAAAGAAGTCCGACATCCTTTCTGTCTTGCAGCCAATTAACGCTTGAAAAATCCGACAAAAAACGGACGCACGTAATATTGGCCTTATTTCGTCGTACGACGATCTCCAAACAATCAGAAAAACAATTGCTGGATTTACACTGCATCCGATTTTCGTTGTACGCTCTCCAACCAATCAGAAAACAGGATTTCGATGAATTTTGCTTCGTATTATCGGAATCCTGTTTTCTAATTGGATGCAGAGCGCCGTACGACGAAAATCGGATGCAGGGTGAATCCAGCGTTATGGATGTCACAAATAAACCGCGTTCACGATACTCAAAGTGGAGATGTAATAGCATCGTTGATTGATTCCGACATTTTACTTCAAAGCCAATCAAAATTTGTACAAGATTAGGCCTGTTCTTTTGGGCTGAACTTTTGTACCAATTCACTTTCTTCCTTTTTGCGGGGTCTACAATGGGTGCATTCAGTACCACGACCGCTCACTGAGCGCTCAGTGAGCGCTTGTATCTGTTTGG